TTTTGGCCCAATTATCTGAAAATTTCATATTTATCTATCTTGGATTAACTTTATTTACTAAACCGACTCTTGAATTCAAGCCATTCTTTATATTTTTCACTGCGGTGAGTGAAATTTAATAACAATTTTTATATGTATTGCATTTTTTTATATAACATTATTAATAATAAATGAATTGTTCAAAACATAGATCTTTATATGCGTATCTCGATACTGTGCCGTGTTTCCACTTTCAAATCTGTTAAATGCTATTGCGCGTTATCGTAAACGGTCAGAAATGCTCCCAAGTAAACATTCTATAATGCTCTTTTGGAGTGGTATGTGTTAAAATTTAATAATTTATATTCTACATTATTCATAAAGTATTTCCCAATTTTCTATATATGCAGAAATACTTTATAATAATATTGTTTAAATTTTAAATAAAACACTAATTATTCTTCTTTTTAAGGTTTACGGGGTGCTGTGGCGTTTGCATTAGCATCTGGTCTCAAAGGACCCAATGCTAACGCTATGAGCACAACTATTTTAGTAGTAGTGGTACTTAGTGTTATCGTATTTGGTGGTACAACAAGTAGAATGTTAGAAATTCTTAAAATAGAGATGGGAGTGGACGAAGGAGAAATTGATAGTGATGATGAAAATTATAGTGAATATAATGATTATAATCACGTACTAACAAACTCTCAAGGATCAATTGTATCATCTGATACTGGAAATTCTGGTGATCACAGAAATATATCTGCAAATATTAATAATTCTAATGCTCATTGGTTTATATCATTTGATGATAAATATCTTAAACCATTATTTACGCGTGAGCGTGATCAAGATACAAAGCCAGAAGATAGGTGGCATCATGAAAGAAGCAACAATGATGAAATCGTTGGCTTAAGAATCGAAGTACAAAAACATCCAAACTAGGGTAGATTTTCCAGACGCGCGACTTTTTAATCAAGTCATGAACTTCTATGGACATTTGTCGCGTGATCGATCTACCAATCAAAT